GTAATAGCAACCTATCCAAAAATGGAACACTAGGATGATATGGGTTATACAAGCTGTTTTTAAATTTCAGCTGTGAAACATTTTAACCAACTCTCCGAGAAGCTAAGGACTTTGAACTGCAAACATGATCTCATCCTCCAGGAAAGCTCGTTACTATGGTCCGATATGGTTAATCTTTAAACATTTTTATTAGTTACATGAAAAGGAATAACTCCAAAAAACTGTTGCGCGATAGTTGGCTCAAAAGTTGAGATAAATGGAAAGTCCGTATTTATATTCCGATTTCATATTTAGAAAATATATAATTTGAATGGAAAGCAAGAATTTGGCCGCTAGGTGGTGCTGGGATCGATTTTTTTTTAAACCTCTAAAAAAGCTTGTCTTATTTTTTTTTAATTCTTGTTTCGCCTTGGTTCGCTCTAAGTAATTAGGCTATTTAACAAATTTTCATAATCATCAGGAAATAAAAAAAAACTAAACTTTAATCTAATGGCAACATTTATAGAATGCTCTTAGGTGGAAATTGGGGTTATGTTCCAAGATCTATTGCTCGACAAATGATTACTGGTCAAATAAAAAATTTATAAGTCCTCTAAATGCGCTTGAATGCAATTATCTCGCCATTATATTTTCGACCCTGCCTATTGTATGCTTAATAATAATTAAATGTCCAAAAAATTTTAAAGTAATTAATCATTTGCGATTATGTGAAAACTATTGAAGATAAAACAGAATTAATTGTTTTATTTAAATTTGAAAATAAATTGACTTATGTGTGTATGTGTAAATAAAATGCAAAAAATTAATGTGTATCCTAAATGGTTTTGGTTAAATTGTATGTAAACATACCACGTGTATATATCATTTAACTGTGAGTCAAGTTCTCTCAAGTGGGCCACCCAAAGTTGGCTTTTCGATTTTTTATATTTTATTGACCGATTTTGAAAGTTAACATGGCAACAAAATAAAGTAGTCATTTTTTTAAATTTCGATTCTTGTTTAATAGAAATTTTTATTTTTTTAATCAATTGAATTTTTTTACCAACTTCTCATATATGTACCTAGGAAAATAATTCAAAAGCATTATTTGCGTTAAACATTCAATTTTGCTTTCATAAAAAAAATTACTGTACCTTTGATTGACTTAAAGATTTTTGCAAAAAAAAATGAACCAAGTTTAAAAAATATAATACAAATGAACTGCAAAGCAAAAAAAAAAAAAATAAAAATAATTTGATAATTTTTGATTTGATACTTAAGGTTGAAAATTTTATTTTTTGCTTTTCTGTTAATTTGTTTATAGCTTTTTAAACTTGGTTAATTTTTTTGGTAAAAAGCTTTAAGGTACAGTAATTTTTTTTTATGAAAGTAAAATTGATGTTTATCGCAAATAACGCTTTTTGATATATTTTCTTAGGTATACGAAGAGTTGGTAAAAAAAAAATTAATTGATTAAAAAATAAAATTTTTTATACAATTTCACAAACTAAGGTTTAAATCAGTTAACGGTCACCTAGATAGTGGGCCTTATAAATTAAAACTAATCAATTGTTTTTTCTTATAATTTCATATACCTATTACTCGATTTATTCAAAGAAATTTAAGTAAAAGGTCTGAAATTTTAAGACAAAACAATTGCTAAGTTTTTATAGTTTTTATTCATAAGGCGCAGTATTTTTGATCATGATGATTTCTTCGCTGAGTCCTTCCCCAATTTCATGACCATATATTGGCTGACTGGAACATCTATGTGACAACTGGTGGATTTTGTTTCAAGAAAATTTTCTCTAATGCGCTTTTCATATTTCTCTTTTCTCGAAATTTTTGACAGCCCCACTAGATTTTTTTTTCTCAACCAACCACTTATCGCCAGCCAAGTTTTTTCCCCAGTGCCGTCTTAGTAAAAGTTTCCTCTTCCATCACAAAAAGCAGAAAACTGCGCCCAAATCGCTGAATTCGTGATCAAAACCAGAGGTTACAAACCAATATGCAGCGAAAAATGTAGTTAGAACAAGGGAGATATTTTGAGGTTTATTATGCACTTAAAAACACAAGCGAATGGAAGACATAAAAACATCATTCCAAGGACATAAGCCCAGACAGAAATCGGATAATTTACCCGTCAACATTACCAACAAGCGCTATGAAGTTATGTAACCGATTTAGGGTTAGACACACTAGCCTAAGGCAGGCCTATTCTGCAGGTTACCGAGGATTTTTTAACCGGAAATTTTTATCTTAGATACTTACATCCGCTGCAGAAGAACTGGCGAAGCACTAGTTCCGTGCTTTCAGAACTGTGCTGGTTGCGCTGTCGCCAAAGTTTAGCATTAATTTGGGATTGATGAAGAACCAGTAACTTCTCTTTTCAAGATTATTCAGCACGAGATACGAAACAGTTTGATTTGCTGCAGGGTCTGCACTAACACATAGGACATAGACGAAGAGATTGTACATTCCCATAATTATCAGGCGGCTGAAGGCTTCGTAACATGTGCATAATTTATGTATTTTTATACTATTTTTTTTGTTATAAATTATTGTATTATAAATATAAATAAAACTAAAAATATACCCTTAAATCCAAAACAATTTATTACGTTTTCAATATTTTCTGTGTTCCGACATTAAGTCCAGTTTATCAGTTTTAATCATATAGTATACATATCGTTACCTAAGGGTGAAAAGGTGCCAAGTCTATTTTTTGAAATTGTTCAGGAGCGACGAAAAATCTATGTAGTTTTGTATTACGTGCCATTCTGCTTCAAAAACTAAATTTTGAAAAAATAGACGTGGCACCATTTCAATATGTATGTTTTATACATTCAAAGAGACAAAATTATCGAAAAATGATCATCTGAATACCAAGAAGTTTGGTAGAATGGGAAAAATCTAATTAATAGTTGAAGTTTTGGGAAAAAGTGTATTTTTATTTTAATACACA